TTGGGGGGGGGGGGGGGGGGGGGGTATTTACCTCGATACAGGCAGGCAGTGTTATGTACGGACAAGAGAGAGGCCGCCCATCAAACACACGTGAACCCCAAAAATACAGCGACAAACACAGGACGGCACGATAACACCCTATCGTGGCGACAATCCACACTGCGGGGCCGCTCTATGTCCTACTTCAACCCGCTCGCAAATCGGGCGGTCAACCAGCGAACAGGCAAAGTGCAACCGAACCTGGTATAGAAAGTAGTGGAAGTGCTGGTCTGTGAGAGGCTGGGTGCTGGAGATGATCTTCTGTAGGTCCGACTCCATGAGGTTCGTCACGATGTACACATCCCTGGAGAGCGATCAGAGTACACGCGCACACATACACACAGCGCGGCCAATAGGTCAGGACGATCTGCTGCTGCTGTCTTGGTCTGATTCATCGCGAGGTCCCGTTATTCAGATTTGAATCCACAGCCAACGCGTCATAAATCTCGTTATCTGAGAACCTACTTACTAGCTTACGGACGACAGCTTGTACCACAAGGAAGGGCAAACAAGGCGGTCTCTGAAACAAGAGGGTGCACGCACCAACCAAAACCACTTTTGCGCCCCGTAAATGCACAATACAAAGAGCACAGGCAGACGAGATATCTTCTTGCCAACAAGCGTCTTACCCGCAGCAAACACACCAAAGCCAACATGAGGTGCTGTTTTCTGAAACACTCGGGGCATTCCTTTCACCCCGATGCTGAGGCAGAGCACCCTCGTCCATGATCCACACGTTACGGCTCGACAGAAAAAGCACGGAACGTCACACGGAACGTCACACGGGACGGCACACGGAACGGCACACGGAACGTCACGCGGAACGGCACACGGAACGTCACGCGGAACGGCCTCTCCGGGGCTTGCACCTGAAGTCGAGGGAGTTCTCCGGGTGAACCATGATGTCGAGGATCGTCACCACGTTTTCGTGGGGGCGGAAATGCCGCAGCAGCTTGAGCTCCCGCAGTATTCTCTTGGCGTCCCCCAGATCTCGAAAAATGTCCTTCACCTTCTTCATCGCCACGCGCTTGCCGGTGGCCTTCCGTACCGTCAACGACGCGGGCAGGCGTTTGGAAGGGCGGTGGTGTACTCATTATCGTGCAAACCTTGTAGTCGTTAGACCATTGACCTGGCATCACTACAAAGCCGGGACGGAGCACGCCGGGTTCTCACCGGACCAGGCTCTCACATCACCAAGCGCGAAGCGCCGTGAGGTTTTCGGCGAGTCGCATGAAGGGTGCGCTGCATCCTGCTAAGGGTGTTCGGCATCTTGAGCTTACTTCCTTGCGTACGGGTGACAGCTGCGTACGAACTAATTTATTTTCTGGTGCTTTCACTTCCAGAGACAGTTGGAAGCAGTGTATCTGCCTCGAGGGTGCTTGACCAACTTAACACAACGTGGTGCGATCATCCATCCCCTTTGCGCGGAGAGAGAGTTCTCGACCCCGCACAACATGATCTACTCGACCACCATTATGGTTACCGCAAAACAAAAGAAGCAAAAAAACAAGCCGTAAACTGGTGGTCTAGCTCACGAAGCGATCGGCTTGTTCTACAACGTCCTTGCCGAGCGACGAAAACAGGGGGGGGTACGGGGGGAGGAGGCTTCATTTGTTGCTTGACTTGGTTGTTGGATGGGTGATTAACCACGCGTCCCTTGGTCAGACGTACAATACCGCATACACCGCCAAGAAGGGAAAATGAGGTGTATTGTATGTGGCAAGTACCCGGCGGGTAAAATGCGTGCGACCGAATCATGGCACCACTATCGGTGCTTAAAAACAATGAGGTAGTGCATAAAAAAATGTACAACCCATGCCTCCTTACCCTGTCGTCTGCGGAACACACGAACCCGTAGGAGCCGTCGCCTATGGGCTCGAAGTTCGAATATCTGCACCCGCGAGTGCAACACGACGAACGAAAAAGAACGACGACCGCATAATAACAGATATGATGAGTTCGGGTTTCGAAGAGAGAGAAAACCGGCAGATGCCAACACGCGATTATTCTGCCAACAATTTCGAGCGAAGTTGTTCGTTTCTCCCGTGCGCCAGAGGACGAACCGAAACCAAGTTGGAGGAAAAGAAACAACAAAAACACGAGTATGTAGATATTGCACCCTTTTCGTGTAGTTGGCCTGCTTTTGCCACGGAAGGCGCCCGCATCAGTTGTACTATTATAATACGGACGGTAGAGGGTACTGAGCGGAGAACCGGAACGGGTCTTCTCGTGAAGGCAACAACCGACAACCGAAAATCAACAACAAGAAGACCGCAAACAAACATGACGTCTACTTACTTACAACAGCAAGGCACAACGAGAGAAAATAAGTTGTAACCGACCACCACCACCATCACCGGAACCCGCCGCCGCCTCGACCCTCACCTAACATCTGTGTGGAAGGTCTCTCGCCCCGCTCGCTGAGAGTGCGACCGCCAGCCCGCCATGGTCTTACCTCTCCACGAGATTCCGCTACCAGCACCTCCCAAGCCCCTCTCTCCCGTTCACACCCCAGACGTAGGCGTAGCCTCTCTTTCTGTGTAGGTGTGTAATTCCTTCCGCTTGTAGATATGTAGAGACCCTTTCTTTGTCTCTCTCGCTGCCTCGTATCGCGTCAGGGCGACAGGGCTACTGGCCAAAACCTTGGTGGTTCGTTGGACGCCAGGCATCCAAGGCGTTGTACATTTAAAGAGTCCAACGCCGCCCACTGCTGCTGTATTCCGATACACCTGGCACCAAGAAATCTGCCGCCCACCAGCGGTGTAGGTAGGTTGGTCCACACCATCACGCGCAAAGTTGCACACAGCAGCAGCAAACACAGCAGATTTGTATAGTAAGTCATCGCAGACAGCAGATCGTAGCCAAACAGAAAGCAGTGAATCCACAGCAGCAGCAAAAGTAGGCCAGGAAAAACCGTCGCGGACATGCCGGTTGCAACGAAGCGCAGGTCTAATGTAGCCACCTGCTTCAGAGACCGCCAATGAAGCACTGGATGTCTCCGAGTTTCGTTCGAAGCGGCGGTGGAACTGCGTGTGTGCATGTGGTGCAAGCCTCAAGCGCCTGGGAAAAAATGAATTTTCCAAACACGCGGTCATGCCCTGTGAGAGATGGAGATACTCCCTGCTTACGTGAATGGAACAAGTAGTGGACAATGGTTGCTGCGCTATGTGCGAACCAACGGAGCTTCTGGTTCTGACTTGCCTTCGACTACAACAAGCAAAAAGTAAATTGTCCAGATGTTTTTCACGGGTGAGCGAATCAATCACACGCCCCCCCTTTGATTACCGACCACAACGCTTGCCCTACCTGTTTTATCGTGTGCAGAGTACGCGGGGCGGTGAGCACATGTGACGTGTATACTGCTGCTGTCACATGTAAATCATTCTCCTACCCACCTACATACCGGTAGATTTTTAGGCACAACAACTACTACAGGCTGACGACCGGACGAAGAGTTTTCCTGCGCGTTGAACGGCTAGACTGTTCTTCGCGTCTATCTTGCGGTAAACATTAAATATGCACATGTAGCCGCGGTGTACTGCGGTACGGTGGCGGCACCATCGTCCAGTGGCTTTTGATACACGGTGCCCAGCTTGCTGCGGAAGACCGCGGTCTCTGCGTCTCTGCATGCCATTTATGGTGCATACGATAGATACGTTGTTCGGACATTTCATTTTTGCTTATGCATGTTACAACCGCCGCCCTTCGTCGATTTCATCAAATTGGTAGATACTACTGCTAACTCTAGCCCTATACTTCTTTCCTTCAGCACGCCTTTCAACCCTGCTGTTCGACATGAATGTACCGCAAGAAAAGTGCCATTCCTATGGGTCCACTGCTGTACACAACACGGCAGGATCGGCTGCCCGGTGTAGACTACACATGCAACTATAGAAGCTACCGCTCGCTGCAGCGGCCATGCGCAAGATCAAACTTCCGAAAGATAGACGGCAATACTGGAGACAGACACAAAACCCGAGCCGGTTTGCGTGGGATGTGATGAGCACACAAACACGGAGCCAGCAATAAACGTCATGCTCATAATGCCGAAACGATTCCGAACTCTACAATCTCAACAAGCTGGATTGCTGGATTGTATAATAGGCGCAATCGAGACGTCGCGACCAGACGCAAACCGCTATTATTACTACTCCCCAAAAGCGGGGACCCTGCGGTTGCATACGCAAGGGTCCAGCGATGGCTGGCTCTGTTTTCTGAAACCAACCTCAAATAGGCAGCGTGCCTGGCCAGCGACGTTCTGCGTACAGCAGTTAGTAACCTTATGGAAACAAGGAACCCACTAACCAAGGGTGCCCTGGACCACGTGTGTGCCCAGATCTCGTCTCTAACTGCTGCTGCTGCTGTGTTCGCCATGACAGATGTACAGCAACAATATACTGCCTGTCAAGTGCCTGTAGTTTGCATCGCACCTTGACCGAGAATTTCCGCGCGTAGGTCGCTCTAGCACTCGGCGGTCTCCCTCCCCACGGATGTTCGTGTGCCCGTTCTGCGGCTTAAGAGCGTCAGTTAGATGGCAGTCCGGCACCAGTTTCTCCGTCAGTGCAGTGGTGGTGCGCCCAAAGAGCAAGGAGGCGGGTAGGCTGTGCGTACCCGCACACACACCCTGATCACACACATGCACATTATTTTCAGTAAAGGGGGGGGGGGGGGGGGGGGCCCCCCAAATTTCAAAATTTTCTAACCTTTTAATTTCCTTTTTTTTTTTTTTTCGGAATGAAAATTTTACCCCTTGTTCCTTTCTTTTACCCTTTCTTTTTTTTTAACCCCCCTCCCCAAGCTTCTCTGGAAAATTGGTTTCTTATCCCCCATTGTTTAAATTTTTTCCAAAAACTCTCTTTTTTTCCCCTCCTTT